AACAACAACAACAACATCTACTAGTTAGGATTCCACACACCTTATTTGCATTGTTACCCCACCCCCCCACCTCCACCCCATACAAGGGTTCTATGGACCTTATTTGCATTGCTAGCAAGCTGCCCAATCCCCTTGTGTTCTATGTACCTTATTTGCATAATCCCATCCAATCACAAAACCATGCCTGGGCTAAAAGGGCCATGTTCAAATGCCTTTCATGCTGATAACCTTTTATAAAGTAGTGCGTGCTCATTCACAGCAAGTAGCTGATCTATCCATAATTCTACATCATTGATTCAGGAACCTAATAAGGCATGTTTGCAACACAGGCAGAAACCATGGAACCACAGATCTTATACTTTAACGTTGAGAGTCAGTCTCAGTAACATGTCTTGAAGATGCTAAAAAATTCCCCACTCTCCTTCTCTAATAGTTTAATTTCTCCCAGCACAGCCAGCACCTTCTAAGGGCACTTTTGGCAACAACATCCTTTGATCTAGTAAAATTCTATCAGCTGTCCTCCTACTCCCCGCTCCCCACCAAAAGCACAGTTCATAAAATTGCTTACGTGTGGTGTGTTCCAAATGCAATATCCAACTTTGCCTAGGATGAAAAAATATATATAATTTATTTCTTTTTAAAATTTCAACTAGTATAGATTTATTTGCTCCTATTGTTGTTAAGTGCTGTTGAGTAAGTTCTGATTTACAGCAATCCTGTATAGGGTTTCCGAGGTGCGGCTGGAGAGCTTGAACCACTAACCTTGTGGTTCAAACTGACCTTGCAGTCCAGTAAATTAACTCACAGCGCCACACCAAGACTCCATAGACTTATTTGTGGTGGTGGTGGTTTATACCACCCGGGGACCGAGACAAGAAGAGGACGTGGGCACTGAAACAAGACCGTGAGCACAGAGCATGCGGTCAGTGCCTGCCTACCAACAGAAACACCTCTCAAACACTGCCTGCCACGTGCCGTCTGCTGCATGGCTCTCTGCTGGGTTGTGGAGGGTCCATCCCACCACCACGAGCTACTAGTCTCTCTTCTCTATTTCTAGTTCACGGGTTTGTCCTGCTTCTCTCACCGTAAGACTAAGAACCGCCACAGATAAAAGCCCACTTTCCTTCCCGTCCCTCAGAGCGGTGGCTCACGAACATGAGAGGTATTTAATGAGTAGTTCTTAATGCACTTTAAAACAAGCAGCCAAAAGTGATATTGAGACAGAAGCTTAGTTCTCTACAAGACACTGGATTTTCACAGGTGGTTACAGCTTCTATAGGTGGGAAAGGGTACAGTGACATCCTGAGGCACTTAAAACTCTGGGTCAAGAACTCTCTGTTGGGTTCGATCTGCCGGAGTGTGCAGTGGCGGGCAGGAGATAAAGGGAAACAATGTAAGGAATCTTGGCAGTGAGCAGACCACAGGGTAAAAACTAAAATTAGAATGCCTGGGTTCTAGTTCTGCCTCCACCACGGACACTTTGCTTCGGTCCCTTGGACAACAGCTTCTCATCTAGAAAGTGGATGGGAATGACCAAATAAACCTACGAGGAGCATTAAATACAGAGAGCCCATGCAGGCGCAGTGGAGCTTCCGCACCCTCCTCAGACGCTCCTGGGGAGACAGACGGCAGCGCAGGGCAGCCCCTCTCTCTGTTACTGTCTCTGTACACACAGTGCCAACTGCCTGCCCAGAATGTGGGCCAGCATGGAAACCAGGGTGACCACGAAAAAAGTCACTGCTGTTGAGTTAATTCAACTCAGAGAGACTCTAAAGGGCAGAGGTGGTATTGTGCTCCAACGCACAAAAAAACCAAAATACTGCCCAGGTCTTATGCCAACCCCACAACTGCTGTTCTGTTTGAGCCCACTGTTGCTGCCACTGCATCAATCCATCTTGTTGAGGGTCTTCAAGCTGAAGCTCCACTTTACCATGCATGGTGTCCTTCTCTAGGGACGGGTTCCTCCTGATAACATGTTCAAAGTACGAGAGATGAAGTCTGGCCATCCTTGCTTACAGGGAGCATTCTGGGCTATGCTTTTTCCAACACAGATTTGTTTGTTCTTCTGGCAGTCCATGATGTTTTTACGATTCTTCTCCAATAGCGTAACTCAAACTCATTGGTTCTCCCTGTCCCCCACAGTGCATCCTATGAGAGAACCAGGCACGCGTAGGAAGCTGAACTGCCCATGCAGGATGACACATTGTACAATCCTGACTAAAATTCATACCTTGTAAGCTTGGTGCTATCGAAAGAATAATTCATGCTCAGGCTGGATGCTTGGGTGTTCAAGCTCAACCATCCTCAAACTCTACCCTCTGTTGGACTGAAGGTACCGATGAGGGCTGACTGGTAGACACAGTGACACCGGAAAGTGGGTCATGCGTGGTAACTAGATAGTCTCTGTAGAAGGGTGAGATTCTGGTGTAGACTCACACAGATGTAGACGTACACAGAGGTAACTTACACAGAGGTAGACATACACAGATGTAGACTCACACAGATGTAGATGTACACAGAGGCAGACTCACACAGATGTAGATTCACACAGATGTAGACATACATAGATGTAGACTCACACATCCCAATACAAAGGTGAACCCAATGCCATCATTATTTCAGGTCACTGTGAACTCAGGGTCCACCCCCTCCTAGGAGCTTCTTCTGTTGCCCTAGAAACAGACCCCTGAAGGACGGTGCCTGAAGCAGGAAGTTGTCCATTTCCAAGACTTGTCTAGAAGGAAGATGAGGATCCCTCGCATTCATCTGATAAGTCCTATTCAGCAACAAGTAATTTATAAAGACACTGAAAATAGCCCTCAGCTCTTTTTCACATTTTTAGAACCTGTTACGTGGATTTCTGGTGTGGTGCTGTACAAACCCATCAGCAGCTCCTCAGCACTGGCTCGATGGCACTTAACAACAAATCTTTGCAGGGGCAGAAAGCTTCATTTTTTTTTTTTGTGGCGTGGCTGCCAAACTTGAACCACTAACCATGTGGTTCCCAGACCTGTGTTTATTGTTGGATCTAGAAGATTCTTAACACAGAAGCCCAGGATATGCTCTCCTCCCAGCTCTTTTTTCTTTGTAGTAGTGAGGCCCCTTTCTGCTCTGGGAATGTCTCTCTTTTTAGGGCTAGCAGGATGGCAAAATAGACCCACCTATCTACTAGTTAGGAGCTCTGGTAGCGTAGTGGTTACGAATCGGGCTGCGAACCTTAAGGTCAGCGGTTCGAAACTACCAGCAGCTCCGCGGGAGAAAGATGAGACTTTCTACTCCCGTAAAGATTTACACCCTTGGAAACCCTGTACAGGGTCACTATGGGTCGGAACCGACTCGACGGCACTTAACAACAACAACAACATCTACTAGTTAGGATTCCACACACCTTATTTGCATTGTTACCCCACCCCCCCACCTCCACCCCATACAAGGGTTCTATGGACCTTATTTGCATTGCTAGCAAGCTGCCCAATCCCCTTGTGTTCTATGTACCTTATTTGCATAATCCCATCCAATCACAAAACCATGCCTGGGCTAAAAGGGCCATGTTCAAATGCCTTTCATGCTGATAACCTTTTATAAAGTAGTGCGTGCTCATTCACAGCAAGTAGCTGATCTATCCATAATTCTACATCATTGATTCAGGAACCTAATAAGGCATGTTTGCAACACAGGCAGAAACCATGGAACCACAGATCTTATACTTTAACGTTGAGAGTCAGTCTCAGTAACATGTCTTGAAGATGCTAAAAAATTCCCCACTCTCCTTCTCTAATAGTTTAATTTCTCCCAGCACAGCCAGCACCTTCTAAGGGCACTTTTGGCAACAACATCCTTTGATCTAGTAAAATTCTATCAGCTGTCCTCCTACTCCCCGCTCCCCACCAAAAGCACAGTTCATAAAATTGCTTACGTGTGGTGTGTTCCAAATGCAATATCCAACTTTGCCTAGGATGAAAAAATATATATAATTTATTTCTTTTTAAAATTTCAACTAGTATAGATTTATTTGCTCCTATTGTTGTTAAGTGCTGTTGAGTAAGTTCTGATTTACAGCAATCCTGTATAGGGTTTCCGAGGTGCGGCTGGAGAGCTTGAACCACTAACCTTGTGGTTCAAACTGACCTTGCAGTCCAGTAAATTAACTCACAGCGCCACACCAAGACTCCATAGACTTATTTGTGGTGGTGGTGGTTTATACCACCCGGGGACCGAGACAAGAAGAGGACGTGGGCATTGAAACAAGACCGTGAGCACAGAGCATGCGGTCAGTGCCTGCCTACCAACAGAAACACCTCTCACAGCAATCCTGCATAGGGTTTCCAAGGCTGTAAATCTCTACGGGAGCAGAAAGGCTCATCTTTCTCCTGGGGAATGGCTGGTAGTTTCAAACTGATGACCTGAGGTTAGCAGCCTGACTCATAAACACTACACTACCAGAGTTCCTATTTAAAGGCAATTTTCAGGCAATTAAATTTAAAGAGCTCAGGCCAACTTTTATTTTTAAATTTCATACCACCCTCTAGTGATCAAGCCCTTGAACAACAAGACAGCCTTTGAAATTGCATCCACAAACTTTGTAAAAAAAAAATACCAACAACAAAAAAAAACACTGATCTTTTGAGCTACTCAGAAACCACTGATCTTCTGAGCTACTCAGAATGATTCAGTACATACTGCATTTTTAATAACAGTAATTAGGAATGAGAAACCTAATTTCTTTAGATGTCAAAAATAAATAAATCAAACAACACTGTACAAAGCCTTAAACGGAGATCTCTGGCTTACACAGTGATCAATATTCAGAGTTCCCCAAGAGTGCACACGAAGTCTGAAGGGCAAGATCAGGGCTAGAAGACAGATAGGGAAGGCTTCCCAACAAAATTCTTGTAGGACAGCCCTTGCTACCCTCGAGGAATTGTTGGGATGGGAAAAAAATCCCATGGCACAACTTTTCCACCAATGTAGTTTTCAATTTTCTCAAAACTTATTCATGATAAACTCCTGAGACTGTCTTGTGTACTTAGAAGAAAGCTATCAAGATTATCCCTTTGGAGTCCCCAAAACAGTCTCCAAAAGCTGCTCAACTGACTTCTCGGCCTTGAACTGCCCTGTTTTTTTGAAAGCCTAGTAAGAGACATTGTTGTTGTTGTTAAGTGCTGAGGGGTCAATTCCAACTCACAGTGACCCTGGTTTCCGAGGAGTGGCTGGTGGGTTTGAACCACTAAACATTGTGGTTCACAGTCCAGTATTGATGCTACAGCACCCCACCAGGACTTCTAAGACACTAAGACAAAGGTATTACTATGAGAACGTGTAGGCAGTCATCCACTGATCACACACATGTTGAAACATGTTTTGTTTAGAATTCACCTGTGCCTAGCAGTACTTTTTGATGAACCCGCCTATCTGTCTAAGAGCCATGGTAGCATATTGGATGACAAGCTGCACTGCTAACCATAAGGTAAGGCTAGCAGTTCAAATCTATTAGCCACTCCTCGGAAGAAAGATAAGGCTTTCTGCTCCTGTAAAGATTTACAGCCCTGGGAACCAATACAGGGTTGCAATGAGTCAGAATTGAGCCCACAGCACACAACCACCACCATCCTCCGTCAGTGTATTTCTGCCTAAGTAGGAGGGTGGACGGTATGTGTACATTTCCTTGCAATTTTCAGACTAAGCATGATGTCGTTGAGTGGCAGTATAAGCAGCTTACCTGGCAGAGGGAAACGTTCTCGTATGGCTTTGCCTCAGCATGGAGATGAGCCTTAGCCTCTCGTTTATCGCCATGGACAAGCAGTATTGGTTTCTTCCTGAGAAGAGATGAGAAGAATTCAAACTAGGTCTTTCGTGAATTGGGGCTCATGCAGGGTTCAGGCTAGCTCGTGCGGGGTTCAGTGCTAGCTCTGGCCTCAGGAGTGACCAGGTACAGGGACAGCCCAGAATGATGCTCATGAACTGAATAAGTTAGCTTTGCTGTGACACAGAGGGGCTGGGACTCAAGAAAGTCCTCATGAAATGATCTTTTCTGGTCCCAAAGGGCAAGTAGTTAGCGCTGTGCAAATACACTGAAATTCAGAAAGACTAAAAGATATCTAATGATCAATGCCTTCGCATCTACTGGCTCCACACTATCATAAAAGGGCAGAGGCTGAATAATAATAGGATAGCGTGCAAACCCTTGTAGTTTGAAGTTTTCTGTATACAAAGTTTTAGATTTTACCTAAAGTTGCAATTTAGGTCGTTCAGTTTTTGTATGTTGGTTGGTTTGGTTTTTACAATGCTCTTGACGGGTTTGCAGAGATACGTTCAGTAACGATGGGGGCGACTCTTCTGTTCCAATGACCACAGAGACTAAGAATAAGGCAAGGAATTGTAGTTACTTTGCTGACATGCTAAAGGGACAACAACTGGATTCCAATGTCTGTGAGACAGAGGAGCCATCAATTCTTTGAACAGTAAAGAGAAGAAAACCAGATTGCATTCAAGCGATTCTAAGAGACACGTGGTCAGGAGGAACCTGTGGCAGAGGCTGTTTGCTGACTCTTGAAGTCCATTCTCCCGTCTCTTTCTAAGAAAGCCCAGATTTTATTCAGGTTCCGATGTGCTCAGCGAAAAGACTACATGTTTAGCTTCTTGTAAGAGTTGATTACAGTCAATGGATTGAACTCTGCTCAATAAATTATACGCAGGTGCTGTGGGGCACTTCCAGGAGGCTGCTGAGAGTGGGTGTAGCTGAGACACAGGCCCTCTGGTCCTTCTCCCCTTCCCCTGCTTCCTGGAACATGATTTGGAGCTCTTGCAGCCACCGGGTCCATGAGGTAAGGATAGCAGCCTAAAGATCAAAGTCACGAACAGGATGGTGGGACAGAAGACAGAGGGGTAGCAAAAGTTCCTGACAACCAGGTGGGAATCATCTGGACTTCTTGGATTGGAGAAACGAATTTTTCTCTTGTTTAAAACATTGTGACTTTGGTTTGCAGATACATGCAGCTGAAATGAATTCTCTGTGTTCCAGATCAAATACGAGCCCTAGGCGTCAACACTGCTTGGGAAATTGCAGTAGCAAATTATCCAGTGTTGGTGACGGTTTCTGAAATCTGGTGTGCTAACTGCACCCAGGAGTTTGAGGGCTCTGCCCTTCTAATGTGTATGTTCCTCCATCAAATGGCTATTACCTTCAGGCTCCACTAGTGGGCACTGTCACTTTTACTTGGTCTGCACTGTCTAACACAAGCCTGAAGAACAGCAGACAGATGGAAAAATCTATTACTTCCGTAATCTGGAGAACAGAAGGCCCTGCATATCCCCTTTGAAAATCAGCCAAGAAATTAACCCTATGGATCACATCGTCTGATCTGCAACTGATCATGGGGAAGGGGCAGGACTGGAAAGTGTTTCCGGTTGTACAGGGTTGCCGTAAGTTGACAGTTGACACAATGGCATCTAATAACAGCAAACTACAGGAAACATAATTTGAGTAAGAGATCCTCTTATGATCTTGTCTAGTCTACAGGACTAACCTGAACTCTGGTGGGTACTGTTTTACCAGCCAGTCCACATCGAAGCAGTAGTTAAACTAGAAGGGGGGAAAAGAAAAGTTAACAATATCACTGATAATTCAGCCATGTAACCTATGAGAACTGTTTGGTTATTAAATTGAAAGAAACTCTAATAATCATATGTTACATATATGACTTAAAACTGGAACAGTAATGCTGCTATAAATATTAAGAACCTTGAAATGCATCCATTTTTTTAAAATTATAGTTTGGGTTAAAGTTGGCTACTACAAGAAAAAGCAAGTGGTTCACCAGGAAGTTATCAAGGTAAGCAATCAAGTCCCTTCGGACAAACCCCCTGTCTAAGACTGAAACTCAAAGGGACCATATGAGCAGGCACATAAAGTTGCTGGTGACCACACTGGTCTACTGGTGAGTGGAATAGGGGAAAAGGCAGCAATGAAGAAATGGGCTGGCTGAGTTCAACCACGTTGCATAGACTCCCGTTGACTTGGAGATGAGAGAAAAAGAGGAAGGGCTGGTTGGTCCAAAGTGTAGTGAGACCTGGGGATTCCTCAGCCCACGGACAAGGACATAGCCATAGAGGGCTAGAACTGAGACTGAAGCATCCAGCTGATATGAAGTGAGGGGCGATGCACAAGAACACCCAAACTTGCAGACAGTACCCATTTGACCTAGCCTCGATGGCTTGATAATCAGAACTTGACTAGAGGAATACAAACATTTTTTTGATAAAGAAAATGAGTGTAAATTGCTATAATTTGATGAACTTGACCTATACTCATGGATACAGTAGCTCAAAATACCAACAGAGAGGGAAGGAGTCTTCACATCAAATCAATGCTATCCCCTCTGTACACAGGGTAGATAGGGACAAGCAACTTAAGATATTAGCTACTTAAAATGAAGGGGCGATAAAGGCACGAGTGACTGGCTTACAAGGTTTCAAGAGGGAGTTTAGTTTAAGAGTGTGTGGGGGTGAGGGCGGGGATGGAAAGATAGAGTTCCCATTAAGTAGTTCTATACTTAACTAAGCAGTTGTGTACTTAACTAAGTTCTCTACTTACTAAGTAGTTCCATCTTCTCTAGATGGGTGGGTCTAGTAAAAATAAATGGGGATAAGATTCATATGATTCAATAGTGAGTGATTAGTATCATGACTAATTATGACTGTCACAATTGTAAAGGTAGAAGTTTTATAAAACTTAAAAACAGGGGAGTAGTAGCTCTGGTAGCATAATGGTTACGAATTGGACTACTAACCTCAGGGTCAGCAGTTTGAAACTACCAGACAGTCCACGGGGGAAAGATGAGGCTTTCTGCTCCCATAAAGATTTATAGCTTCAGAAACTTTGTACAGGGTTGCTATGAGTCGGAACCGACTCTGCAGCACACCACAACCACCAGCAGTTAATCTTACAGTCCAGAAACAGAGGACCCTAGGACCATCAAGGGAGAAGAGCACAAGCAGAATGTGGGACCTTATCCAGAGAAGCAGCGACACCAGAGATGGAGGCAGAGATGGGGACATGGAGAGAGGGAGCAGCTGAGGACTCTAGATTCATGGGAAGAGAGGGACTGAGAGCTGGTGGCTAGGAGGCAGACTTGCAGAATGTGCCCTTTGGTGGTTTAAATTATTATATACGCCCAAGTGTTAAAAAATAAATAAAAAGAGAAATACTGTTAACTGATGGTACTTGGAGGGACTATAATTAATCATTATAATGAAGCAAAGTGTATGATTTGTTGAATGTAAAACTGATGATCGGACCTGTAAACTTTCACTCAATTCACAATAAAAATTTAAAAAGCAATAAAATTATGGTTTGGGTTAAAGTTTACAGAGCAAATCAATTTTCCATTCAATGATTTATATACCTTTGGTTTCTTAACATTAGTTGCAATTCCTTCAATCTTAATTGCAGTCTTAAATTTCCTCCCTGGGGGTTCCTTATATATTCACTCCTTCTTTCCTGCCCCTTCCTGGTTTCAAAGCTTGGTTTGGGGGGCAAATACTGTCCTTTTGATTTCAAATAGTTACTTGTCTTGAGGAGAATGTTCCTCATGAGGGTTCTTGTTCACTTCATAGACCTGTCTGCTGTCTGGCTGAAATAGATCTTGGAATAAAAGGAATGGTTCTATACATACCATCTGGGCATGTGCATGGCTAAATGATACATTATGATATTACTTCCACGGACGCTGGTGGCACTGTAGGGTAAACACTGGACTGCTAACCACAAGGTCAGTAGTTCAAATCCCCTCAGCCCAACTTACTTACCTGCTCAGTACACAGGCCTCTGGGGGGCTGAGAATCCACTTGCTGTTGCTATTAAGTGCTGTCAAGTCAGTTCTGACTCATAGCAACCCTATACAAGGCTTCTGAGGAGAAGTTGGTGGGTTTGAACTGCTGACCTTGTGGTTCACAGTCCAGTGTTTATCCTTCAGCACCTTACCAGGGGTTCATTATGAAAATGACGTCTTGACCACAAGTGCACACGGGTCTTGCTCTCAGTGGTTCATGACCATGTGTTGTTGTTGTTGTTAGGTGCCATAGAGTTGGTACTGACCCATAGTGACCTTATGCACAGCAAATGAAACAATCCTGGGCCAACATCACTATTGTTGCCACGCTTGAGTCCATCGATGCTGCCACTTGGCCAATCCATCTTGTTGGGGGTCTTCCTCTTTTTCTCTGACCCTACACTTTAACAAACATGATATCCTTCTCCAGCGACTGGTTCCTCCTGACAATATGTCCAAAGTATGAGAGACGAAGTTTGGCCATCTTGGCCTCTAAGGGAGCACTCTGGCTGCACTTCTTCCAAAACAGAGCTATTGGTTCTTTTGGCAACCCATGGCACTTTCAATATTCTCCTCCAACACCATAACTCAAAGGCATCAATTCTTCTATGGTCTTCCTTATTCACTGGCCAGCTTTTGCATGCATATGAGGTTATTGAAAATACCATGGCTTGGGTCAGGCGCACTTTAGTCCTCAAGCTGACATCTTTGCTCTTCAGTACTTTATTATGTCTTGTGCAGCAGATCTGCCTAATGCCATACGTAGTTTGATCTCTTGACTGCTGTTTCCGTGAGTGTTGATAGTTGATCCAAGAAGAATGAAGTCATGTGTGGGTAACCCTTAATCCTCTGGACTGAGTCACTCAACCTAGCTAAGAGAACACTCGAGAATTCACCCAAGGCCAAGCACAACCTGATAGATACAGGAAGCTGGGCATTCTCTAGGGATGTGACCTGTGTTCTGCCTACTTCTGTGCCTGAGCCTGGAACAGCAGTACTGGCAGATGGATCCGCTACACATACACACATATTCCCAAATTGTACTCAGACATGTCTTTCTGGTTGGTGCAGCACATTTTGTTACCTATTTCTCTATAGCAAACTTGACTTGAACTTCAGCTCTCTACCCATCTCTCCCCAGGTCCCAAGAGATGACCAGGTTCACCAAAAAGATGACTCTCAAGCTGGAATTCCCAAACTACCTTTTTGATCAGTCCTGAGGCCCAAGCTGGTCATGGCCTTCCTGTTCTGGGTCATTGGTTGGGGTTCCTGTAACTGTGGTTCTTGATGCCATCTCAGGGAACTTGTACAAGATCGAAACACAGGGCCCACCTCTTGCCTTTCTTGTATTATGTGTCCCCTTTTACCCCAAGAAAAAGCAACTAGACTCTCAACTCACCTGAGCTGAAGAAACAAGTGTTCCAAACAGAGGAGATAAAATATCTGAGGAGACAAAAGGTATAAATCAAATTCACACTCAGGGTAAAATGTGCTGGGGTAATGAATAAGTATTGGGGTAATGAATTAATGACTGAATGGTTACTGCCAATCAGATTTTGGTTTAGACAAGAGAGAGGAGAACAGTTATGACAAAACTAGACGGCAAAGTTGATAAAACTCCAGACCAAAAAAATGTCCCTGTGCATTTCAAGCAATGTTTATTATCTACTCTTTAAGAAACACAAAATGAAAACCGCACCGTCAGCACTAAATGACTCAGGCAATGCTAGACACTGTTCATTAGGACAGTCAGGATACAAGTTCTTCTTCACACAGACATCGGGATTTTTATTTCTCTTCAGGAAACCTCCCAGCTCTTGACAAGCCACATGGGTTTCCTCTGGAGTTTACGTCCTGTGTGTGACAGGGGAGAGACCAAGCTGAACCCCAAACCCCCTACGGTTGAGTCAATTCTGACTCACAGAGACCCTGTAAGACAGAGGACAGCTGACAGCCTCATTGTTCTCCTGCAAAGCAGTTGGTGGGTTTGAAGTGCTGACCTTGAGGTTTGTGGTCCAATATTTAACCCATGGCACCCCAGGGCTCCTTATAGGGGAGAGGCACCCACAATTCTAAACACATTCCCGGCCCTCAGGCCACTTCTACAGAGGCCCCACCTTGCACCCACTCAAGCTTGACTTCAGACAGGCCAGAAGGCTCACTTCTCATAAACTGTGCCCTGACAGGAAGTACACCCTCATCACCATGATCCTGGATTGGGACAGCTGCCATTCAAAAGGGACCTATTCTGAGCCAGGCAGCACCTCAGCATCTCCTAGTATTACCTCACTCTCCACATTATAGCCATGCTCTGAGTTAGGGTCTGTTGTTCCATGTCGCAACTGAGGAGAATTTCTATGGCTGGAGTTTAAACTCTGAGAAAGTAAACAATTCTAATTGTTTAGCACAGAATAACACTGCATGAAGACAAGAGGAGACCTCCGAGAAAAAACAGCTCAGTCTCAAATTATTGTATTTGTTGGTCAAAATAGTATTGTTTTTTTGTTTTCCCCCATGCCACAAATGAGAACATAAAGTGGAGCTCTTGGAGGTCAGTCTAGACTGCCCCTCATTTGACTGGGGAACGCATTGCCAGGTGGCATCTGAGAGCTCCCAGAAGCCTCAGCAGTCTTACCCTTGATGTGTAGGGCTCCGGTGTTGTACTTCAGTTTAATCCCCGAGACCCTAGTGAGGTAAAACTGGAAAGGGTTCCCTTTAATCAGCATGTCCCAGACGTCCTGGCCTTCCCCCGACGTTTCATACTCGTCTTCCTCTTTTTGGAGTTTGTGCCGGCTGGGAGGGCCGTGATTTCCAGTCCTTTCTGCTTGGATTTGGGGGGAGGATGGAGGGCCTTTCTCCTCTTTGACCCCCGTTTTCGCAGCCTGCTCGTCATCACTACTGGAGAGGCACCAGCCGAGGTCTTCCTGGGAGCCGCTCTTGGGCCTTTTGGGAGGTGAGACGGAAGCAGACCCCGTGCTGCTGAACTTCACGGGGGACATTTTTCTTCTGTGGGCGGCCTGCCGAGCCTCGGAACAAGTATACCGGAGCTCTGTGGCTGTCCCCTGTTGGGCGTGGGGGAGACAAGAGGTCGCTGGCCTGTCCAATTTGGGTTTTTCATCCTCACTTTCATCACTGCTGGATATTGTCCACCTCCCGTAACTGCCTTCCTGAGACATCCCACTGGTTCTGGAAAGAAAAGACTGGAACGTCATTACTTCTCACTCAACAGGCTGTTGGCAAACTTTAGTTTCTGTTGGGTGCTGCTGAGTCCCTCCCAACTCATAATGACCTCACGTGACAGGGCAGACCTGCCCCCAGGGTTTTCTTGACTGGGACCCATCTATCTCAGAGTGTTGGAGTCAGTTTCTACAGCCAAGCTTTCGGTTAGCAGCTGAGCACTTAACCACTGTGCCACCAGGCCTCCTTTAAAATGACTTTATGGCTCTCAGATTTCCTGTCAAATCGCCTTTACAGCAGACACAGCTCCCCCGACACTCCCCAGATGCTCTCTGTAGGTATTCATGGGCACATCACTAGAATTTAAAAAATTTTTTTATTGTGAATGGAATGAAGGTTTACAGACAAGCTCGTCAGTTTGACAGTCAACAAATCCTACACTTGGTTTCATCTCCCTGATCACAATCCTCTCCCTGTAATAAGCCATCCAGCCTCTTCCCTGCAGTTCCTATTCCCATTCCACCCACATTTCCATCCCTTCTTCACTTTGTCCTTAGACACTCCATGGTAAGCAGACCTCACAAGTGTTACTGTCCTCCCTATATAAGTATCTACTGTTTGCCTGAAAATTGGGCCACGACAGTGAGTTCCTATCCAGACCTGATGGGTGGTAGAGGGTCATAATCTCAGGTCCTTCCAGTCTCTTTCTGACTAGTAAGTCTGGTCTTTTTTTTTTTAAATAATTTTGAGTTTTGGTCCACATTTTCTCCCACTCTATCTGGGGCCTTCTAATGACATCACCCAAACTTGCTAGTCAGCAAATAATTACAACGAAATTAAAAATCAAACATCTAGGTTACATTCTCTTCCCTTCACTCCTGTTAGCTTAAACCTTTTCCTTAGATGCTTCAGCAAAAGGGGTTACAACAAAAACAAAGAAAAACAATTAACTCCTGATCTGAAGCTTTTGAGGAGCACTTGGAGTTTAAGGACATATTCAGGAATTTCAAGAGTAATTCTGCCTATGTTCAAGTTGGAACTTAAAAAACATAAAGATTCGCTGTTGTTGTTAAGTGCCGTCGAGTCCCTTCTGACTCACAATGATCCAGTACAGGGTTTCCAAGGAGTGACTGGTGGGTTTGAACAGCCGACCTTGCGGTTAGCGGTCGACTCAACTAAATTAAAATATAACTATCTAACCAGCTAAATCATAAAACAAACTACCAAACTCTGCATAGAACTGAAAAGCAAACACGATTTTATTTTCTAAGTCCACTTTCCTGCTCTCATACAAGAGGAAAACACATGAAACCGGAACTTCGGGTTTTGTTACCTGCAAAACACTGCCAGTACAGGGGCAAGTAAAATTTCCAAGTTCATTAAATTACTTGTATCTGTTAGCACACGGGCTAGAGGAAAAGGATAAAACTTAACAAAGGGTCTGAGCTCAGGCTGGTGATGAGATTGACATTTCTGCTATTCAAAAAGCTGACTGGTGGTGATGGTTATGTGCCGTGAAGTCGATTCCTACTCATAGCCACCCTGTATAGGGTTTCCGAGGCTATAAATCTTTACAGGAGCAGAACACCTCATCTTTCTCCCGTGGAACCACTGGTAGTTTCAAACTGCTGACCAAGATGTGCACCTAAATGGAAATGCTAAGAAATTAAAGAAACCAATTTATAGGCAAGGGAACACCATGAATCACCACCACCTTTTACAATTTCCACTTGGTGTGAAGTGCCTCAGTTAGCAGTCAAGTGTTGAACCCACAAGGCCACAGCAGAACTCCATCTAATAGCACTTAATGTAGTTGTTAAAGTGCCCTCAAGTCCATTCCAACTCGTAGTGACGCCTGTATAGAGGAGTGGCTGGCAAGTCTGAACCATTGACTATTTATGGTTCAACCCAACCTTGCAGTCTAGCGTTAATCCTGCTTATCCTGCAGCACCACACCAGGATTCAATCCCCTAGGTGGTGCCAGTGGTTCAGTGCCAGGTTATTGACTGAAAGGTGGGAGGTTCCAACCCCACCAGGGGCATCTTTGTTGGAGAAAGTCCTAGTGATCTGCTTCTGAAATGCTGTGCCCACTGAAGACCCGATGGACCATAGCTCTACTCTGCCCACGTGGGGTCGGGGTCGCCACAGGTCAAAATGGACTCCACTGACATGGGTGCCATCGTTTTTCACAACTTCTAGTGTGACTTTTTTACAACTTCTAGTGTGACTTTTGAACTTCTAGTGTGACTTTTGAACTTCTAGTGTGACTTTTTTAACAACTTCTAGTGTGACTTTTTAACTTCTAGTGTGACTTTTTTACAACTTCTAGTGTGACTTTTTTACAACTTCTAGTGTGACTTTTTAACAACTTCTAGTGTGACTTTTTTTTACAACTTCTAGTGACTTTTTTACAACTTCTAGTGTGACTTTTTTTACAACTTCTAGTGTGACTTTTTAACTTCTAGTGTGACTTTTTTACAACTTCTAGTGTGACTTTTTAACAACTTCTAGTGTGACTTTTTCAAGGAGCTCCCAGCAGGCAAGGACACTTCTATAAATGACCTGTGCCCAGGCATTTTCAAGCACGGTGTATGCATGGCCACAACGTGACCTGTCTTTCAGGTCACTAAGACGTCTGCCTGACATGGATGCTAATTCATAGCAAAGCTCTATGGAGTACACAGCTGGACGGGGTTCTCCGGCTCCTGTAAACGTAACCCTAGACTCTTGTCCATGACTTCAGCTCTCCTCTCCAGTTTCTAGTATTCAGTCATTTCTACTCAGTATGGCCCACTTTCTCTATTGCTGTTAAGTGCTGATGAGTCAGTTTCAACTCACCGTGTCCCTCTAGAGGGCTTCTGAGGAGCTGCTGGCTAAGTTTGAACCACAGACCTTGTGATTCAAACCAAACTTGCAGTCCAGTGCTTATCCTACAGTGCCACACCAGAACCCCAGCCCACTTCTACAGGCTGTTAAAACTCAGATTAGCATTTCCCCCAAACCTGTTTCTCAGGGGTTAAGTAAGGTATTAAGTACTATAAACAGAGTTGGAGGACCAGGTCATTGGGGTGTGCTGTAGAGTCAATTCCAATGCAAAGCCATCTGCAAGACAGAATAGAACTAAGGTGGAGGGTCAGAGAAAAAGAGGAAGACCCCCAGTGAGATGGATTGGCAAAGTGGCAGCATCAATGGGCTCAAGTGTGGCAACAATTGTGAGGTTAGACCAGGACCGGGCAGTGTTTCGTTCTGTTGTATATAGGGTCGCTATGAGTTGGTACCAACTGGATGGCACTTAACAACAACAATATAGGGAGTCCTGGAGTGGTGCTGTGGGTTAATGCGCCAGACTGCAAAGCCGTTTGAACTGCAAGGTCGGCAGTTCAAGCTCACCAGCTGCTTCTCAGAAACCCTATACAGGGTCACTATGGGTTGGAGCTAACTCAATGGCATTTAACAACAACATAGGGAGTAGTCCTGGTATGCCACTCTAGGATAAGCACTGAACTACTAATCACAAAGTCAGCAGTTTAAACACATTGCCGCTGCTCGGAAACACTGTGATTTGGAACTGACTCAATGGCATGTAACAACAAAAAAATAAGGTTTCCTAGGCTGTCGTCTTTACAGACACCACTCATCTGTCAGTTTGTCATAGTGTGGTGCATACTGCGGTGCTGCTAGAAGCTAAGCGATTTCAAATGCGGGTCATGCACAGTAGTGGACAGGTATCAGTAGAGATTCTAGAGACTAGAAACAGATAAGGAAGAAGGAACAGGTGGTCCGCTTCTAAGGGATTAAGCCCTGAAAACCTTATCAATAGCCAAGGAACACTGCTATAGAGCTTTAGGTTGGAAGGTGCACAAAATATGAGGACACGCTGCCTCCTCAAAGCACAACCGGCCTGAAGGACTTGGATAGAGCAGAGCATTTGGGACCTTCTTCTGCTGATGGGCACAACTCAAAATGAGAACAGCTGCAAGCATTCACTAGCAACTGGAATGTGGAAGTATACCAAATATGAATCTAGGGAATCGGTAAGTTGTCAAAAATGAAATGTAAAAAGATCAATACCCAGGCATCAGTGAAGGAGCTCCGGTAGCATAGTGACTACCAATCGGGCTACTAATCACTCAGTCAGCAGGTCGAAACTACCAGCTGTCCCACGGAAGAAAGATGAGACCTTCTGCTCCCGTAAAAATTTACCACCTTGGAAACCCTGTGCAAGGTTGTTATGAGTCGGAACCGACTCCACGGCACATAACAACAACAATAAGTGATCTGAAATGGTCTGATACTGATCATTCTGAATCAGACAATCATACCGCTGACTCTGCTGGACATGACAAGTTGAAGAGGAATGGCAGTACATTCACTATCAGAAAGACCATTTCAGATCTACCCTGAAATACAACACTGTCAGTGATAGGATAATATTCATATGACTACATGATATAGAATCGAGTCTTGGTGTGACACTGTAGGATACAGCAATAGACCATAAGGTCAGTTTGAACCACAAGGTCGGTGGTTCTAACTCACCAGTCAGTCCTTGGAAACTCTACACTGTGTTGCTATGAGTCGGGACCAACTCGATGGTACTTAACAACATGAGAGGATAATATCTCTATGTCTACAAGGAAGAACAGTTAATACAACTGTTATCAAATTTATTCACCAACCACGAATGCCAAAGATGAAGAAACTGAAGACGTTTTTTACCAACTTCTGCAATCTGAAATTGATCAAACAAGATTCATTAATAATTAATGGTGATTGGAAAGTGAAAGTTGGGAACAAAAAAGGGCTGGCAGTTGGAAACTAAAGCTTTGGTGATAGAAACCACATGGCAAATTGCATGGTAGAATTTCGCAAAAGACCAACTTAATCACTGAAAATACCTTTTTCAGCGACACGAACGATGGCTAGACACAGATGGAATACACAGAAATCAAATCAAACACATCTGTGGAAAGAGATGATGGAGAAGCTTGATATCATC